ACTTGACGAAGTTTGAGAAATTTTTTTTGATTTTTGAGGTTTGATTCATGGTTATTGAGGTTACTTTGGCGATTTAATCGCACGGATAAGTTCGTATAATATTTTTGAGTTAATATGCACATCTGGTTTGGAGTTCCGAGGGCTCGGGTGAGTTTCGGGTAGGTCCCGGGAGGTCATAGGCTTAAAAACTCAGACATTGCAGGTCCAGAGCAATTTCGGCTCTCTGAACCTACTAGCGCGGTCCGCAAAAAATAGTGTTTGGCCGCGGAGGAGGGAGTCAGTGCGGTCCGCGGTCGACTTTGTGCGGGCGCGATGGAGGGCTGTGCGGCCGCAGTCGACTTTGTGCGGTCCGCACAGGGAGGTTCAGAGACTGTACCCTCAGGAAAAGGGTTGTGCGGCCGCGGTCCGTTTTGTGCGGTCCGCACAGGGGTCATGAGAGATATATAAATAGACGGGATTTTCAGTCATTTTTCTTTTTTCAAAACCCTAAAAACATAAGAGGCGATTTTTCAAACAACCTTTCTTCTCCAAAACGTTGGTAAGTGATTTCTAACTTATTTTCTTCACTCCTTAACATCTTTTAACATGATTTCAACTTGAAATTGAAGATTTTCATGGGGGAAATTGGGTGTTCTGGGTAGAACCTAGGTTTTTCAAAAATTAGGGATTTGGACCTCAATTTGAGGTCCGATTTCAAAACAAATTATATATTTGAGTTCGTGGGGGAATGGGTAATCGGGTTTTGGATCGAACCTCGTGTTTTGACCACGTGGGCCCGGGGGCAATTTTGACTTTTTGGGTAAAACTTTAGAAAACTCATTCTCATGCATTGGGATTGATTCATTTAGCACTTATTGATGTAATTAAGTAATTTGTGATTAGATACGAGCGAATTGGCGGTGGAATCAAGGGGTAAAGCTATAATTGAGACTTGAGTTAGCCGTGGAAGTTCGAGGTAAGTGTTTGATCTAACCTTAGCTTGAGGGATTAGGAGTTGAGTCCTATTTGCTATGTGGTAATTGTTGAGTACGACGTATAGGCATGGTGACGAGTATCTATACGTTGGTGTCTAGCATGACCGTGAGTCCTTAAATTGTGAATATCTTGACTTCGTAGTATTTTTCATGCATTGGTGATGATTTATATTTGTTGTGAGAATCTTGTGGAAGGAAATTGTGACCTTTGAACATCGAGGAGCATTGGCTCAAGTTATATTACAAATTGTGAAAGTATATGAGATGATTGAACCCCTTTGGAGCACTGGCTCAAGTGGTAAAGTGAGTTAAGAAATAAAAGAGAAAGAAAGAGAAAGAGTTATTAAATCGTTCCCTTGCCGGGATTTAATTGTTTAATTGTGTTCCCTTGCCGGGATTTCTATCATTATTTTGTTTATTTCCCTTGCCCTTGTTTGTGATTGTTGTTTGGGTGAGGAAGAGTGTTAAAGTACGAAGGGTGATGTCGTGCATTGTTTGCTATTGTGAGGAAGGAGTGTAAAGCATAAGGGTGATGCCGTGCCGCACGATGTACCATTCCGTGCCAATTCTATTGATTATATATGAGGAAAGAGAGTAAAAGCACGAAAGGTGATGTCTGCACCTTTCATTATTTTAATTGCTTTGGTGAGGAAAGAGAGTAAAAGCACGAAGGGTGATGCCGTGCACATTTTATTATTCTAATTGCTTTGGTGAGGAAAGAGAGTAAAAGCACGAAGGGTGATGTCGTGCACTTATTTGATCTCTGATTCTTGTTGACATTTTAGCTATGTTGTTTCTTTTCCTTACTTGATGCTTTATTCGGAACTGTTATTTCCCCGCAGCATGTTCCCCTCTCCCATCTTTACTTGTTTATTTCTGCTTTATTTTCCGTTGTATATTATATAACTGCACAGGTTTATTTGGTAGTCTGGTCCTAGCCTCGTCACTACTTCGCCGAGGTTAGGCTAGACACATACCAGCACATGGGTCGGTTGTGCTGATACTACACTCTGCACTGTGTGCAGATCCAGGAGCAGCTTTCGGACAGTAGTAGGAGGGCTTCCTTCAGTCCACCCGGAGACCCAAGGTAGACCTGCAGGCGTCCGCAGGCCCTGGCGTCTCCCTCCATCTCTATTCCCTGTTTCATTTTCTTTGTTCAGAAACAGTTTAATGTATTTTCTTCAGACCTTGTATGTAGTGACTCTTAGAGAGTCTGTGACACCGGGTTTTGGGGTATTTGAGGTTTTGAAAGTTGTAATAAACGTAGTCTTAAGATATATTACTGTTGACTTCCGCTTATTTATTTGAAATTCCGCTGTTATCATATTATCGTCTGGTATTTTGTTAAAGAGAAGAAATATGAACGTGTAGTAATTATGTAAGGTTGGCTTGCCTAGCTCCCATTAGTAGGCGCCATCACGACTCCCGAGGGAGGGAAGTCCGGGTCTTGACAATGTATCCCGCTGTATTCTATGTATTTTATTGTATTCATTGTCTCGCTATATGTCATGAATGTATTCATATGTTTTTTTAATTAATATAATTTATGTATTCAGATGTATTATATAATTTCTTTGAAGATTGCTATATTTTTTGGGTATTTTTCGGTTGAGAATCTATTTTATAATTGGAAATACAAAATTTGTGTGTTATAATTGAGTTTGTTGAGTTATATTAGGATTCTATTATGTTAATTGATTCACTTTCCGTTTAAAAACAGTGTAATCCCCTGTTTCACGCCGTGAATACAGTCGAATACGATAATCTGTCCAGATGTAATCTCATGTTTCACGCCATGAATACAGTCGAATACACTCGAATACAACAACTGACTAGCTGGACTTCCCTGATTCACGCGTATTTTTGCTACTGTATTCATGAATACTGTAGCTTAAATACATCTAATACATCTTATAACAACAGAAAACGTATCTACAATCCGTAATATAGCAAATGGTATCTATAAATAGCTAATTACCACTAAAAATGAATACAGTAGCTTAAATAGATCTAATACATCTTATAACAACAGAAAACGTATCTACAATCTGTAATATAGCAAATGGTATCTATAAATAGCTAATTACCGCTAAAAAGTAGTGTTTTATGAAGACTTCCCTTCTTTTTTTGAGTTACAATGCTGAAAACTGTTCTTTTGGGTGCGACATCTCCATTCTCCACAAACCCCATGATTCAATCCGTTTTACATTACTCAGCCTCCCATCTTTCTTAATTTGGCTTTGTTGACAACTATTTGAGAAAGCAAATACATATTCTTAATAAATGAACTCGAGTTCTTCCAAATTGAGATTCTTTTCAATCTCAAAATTTGATATTATACTTATGAATTTAACTTGGATTTTAACCCATTAAGCTACAGAAAAAGTTTGCTGGGTCATTTCAAGTTCCACCTGGCAAGATTAAATCAACAAAACAAGCCATGAATCTCAAATTTGAACAGGTTAAAAGCTTTTAAAAGTGGAGTAGTTTTACTATATCTAGTATATAATTCTTTTTTTGGGGTCCGAATTTCGCTGCTAAATATGAACTAGCTTCGTAAAATCATGATTCGTTAATGCTCCTGTCTGGTCTGCCAATGAAATATCAATTTTTTATGGATTAGTTACCTCCTATAGCAAAGGTTGATACCTTATTTGTTTTAAATAAATACCCTTTTAAAAAATTATATTCCATAGCTACCTTTTGATTTTTTATAGCCAAATATCTATTTATGGTCACCTCCTACCCTTAAGCCATAAAATAAATTTTGTATTATTTTTCTCTCTCATATCCCCTCAAATTTCTCCTATCCCCTATCCTATATCTATTCTCCCTCTCTCTCTACTTACCCTACCAGCTCTTCTCCGCCTCCGAACGCCTCCACGCTTCTCTCTATCCCTCCGTCCCTCTCATAATCAACTGGGTCAAATCGCCTCTGACCCGATTACAAGTAGATAAGGCCTTAAAAGTCGTCTCCATGCGCCGGTTCGGCGAGGAGAAAGAGAGCGAAATTCTGCTTGGGAATACTAAATTTAAGGACTTCGCGGTGGAGGTATTTGCAGACGTTGTCGTTTCGGGGGCTGGAAAATAGTTGTTGAAGCGTATTCCGTTTGGGGCTTTTGGGATTGTTGGTGTTGTTGCGGTGGTGAAGCCCGGAAAAGAATTGGTTGCGGCGGCAATTGGTGCTTACGCGCTTGGTGTTTCCACTTCGGTTTACGTAAGCTTAGGATTGTGCTTAAACAAAGACGACGGAGTTGGGGGCTGAGCAACTTGAATTTTCTGTTAATATATGTCAATGTATCTCGCTGTATTTCATTGTATTCATTGTCTTTTTTTCATTGTATTTCAATGTATCTCACTGTATTCTATGTATTTCATTGTATTCATTGTCTTTTTTTTCACTGTATTTCAATGTATCCCGTTGTATTCTATGTATTTCATTGTATTCACTGTCTCGCTATATTCCATGAATGTATTCATATGATTTTTTATTAATTAATATAATTAATGTATTCAGATGTATTATATAATTTCTCTGAAGATTAATATGTTTTTGGAATGTTTTTCGGTTGAGAATCTTTTCTATAACTGGAAATACAAATTTTGTGTGTTATAATTGAGTTTGTTGAGTTATGTTAGGAGTCTATTATGTTAATTGATTCACTTTTCGTTTAAAAACAGTTTAATCCCATATTTCACGCCGTGAATACAGTCGAATACATCGAATACAATAATCTGTCGAGCTGTAATTGCATGTTTCACGCCATGAATACAGTCGAATACACTCGAATACAAAAATCTATCTAGCTGTAATCCCCTGTTTCACGCCTAGAAATGCTACTATATTCATGAATACAATAGCTTAAATACATCGAATACACTCTAAAAAATCTGAAAACATAGCTATATGAAGTAATATAGTAAATGGTAGCTACAACTGACTAATAACCACTAAAACATAGTGGTTTCTGAAAGTTTCTCATTTTTTATCCGCGGTTCCATCTAAATGTTGATCCAACAAGCATAAACAAGAATATAAAATTTGCGTGATTTAATTTTCCATTCATCGTTTTAGCTCATACATAAATTCCACGCCGAACTGCTACCCTAAGTCAAATTGTCAACTTCTAAACGTCATTGTAGGTATGTTTCTAGCCATTACATAAGTAGGTACAATTGGAATTTTCGATTGCTACAACCCGAGGACTCTTTGCGCAGCCAAGCAGGAAAGTATACTCACTCCCAGTCTGCTGCTTTCCATCAACCAGGATCTAGTTTTCACCATTTATTTCTCACAAAATGGAGATCAGGAAAAAAGGAAACACAAAGCAATTAAAAAAATATCCAGACTTCGGTGCATATCGCTTTCGAGCAAAATTTCATATCTGTGATTCTTAAACATCACGATCTCCTCCCATTTAAAATGGTATTATTATCTGCAGTCAGTGTGACTGACGAGCACGTCACAAAATGCTCGTGAAACTATGGACACATTCAATAACCCTTCACCAATAGATGCATTCTAAAAGGGTTCTGGCCTATGTTTCTCAGACTCTGCAAAAATGGCACAGGTGCATGTAGAATCCTCCAAAAATAGAGTATTTTTGGAGGATCCGACACTGGTGCAGCAACATTTTTGGATAGTCGGCACAACATAGGTTCTGGCCTGCTTAAAAGGATGCATTATGGTCAAGCAATCACTATAATGCAAAAGAGATTGCAGATCTAAGTCAAGAAAATAGAAATAAAAAATAAAAACAAGTAAACCTTAAATCTGATATTAAAACTACAAAAGTAATTCCATAGTGTAACTTTCACGTGCCGAAAGAAATCTATTGGACAAAGCACAACAGGAAGGCGAGCATATTCTTGAGAACATGCACCACCTTTTTTTTTCCAGTGGACAGGAAAACATAAATTAAGAAAAATGAACGTATTGTAAGTAACACTTTAGCGGTATATAAACCTTACCGCTCAAATCATTTCCGTATACAACACAGATGATGATCTGCACTCAACTCGCCGCGTAACAAGCTGGCAATGGCAGCTAAAATGAGGGACAGAAAGAGGACTGGAGTGATCAAATTTGTGCAGATACAGTAGAATACTTGACTGAAGCTGGTGTAAGAAGAGACGCCAGGAGCAGTGGGCCATAACTCAGACAAGAACTCAGCTGAACATCTTGGATGGAGGCAGTCAAAGCAAGCTCTTCAACTGAAAGAAGAGTGGTCCTCTACATTCACGCATATCATTCTAGAACTTTGTCGAATGCACTACTACTGGCCACCCCATAATTTGTATATGAGTAAATGCAAAATTCACTTGAGACAAAAAAAAAAAGGATGAACACGATGAAGTTAACAGAAATCACCGTGCAGGTTTTTCACTAGCTTTGTCTGGAGAAGTAGAAAAGAAACTTCAAAATCTCAGTCACTCTACAGGGAACATTCTAATAAAATTGTAACCAGCTCTTTCTCCAAAGACAGAAAGAAAGTATGGAGAATTTTCCCCTAAAAAGACTGTTATTTTGACAAATAATATTTTTTTGATAAAGGTTATTTTGACAGATGATAATAAAAGTGTGTGAAAAGAAGGGAAGAAAAAAGAAGCAGCCAGAAAATAAAAGTAAAAGGGAACCAAAATACTCATCACTATATAGACTCGGACACTGCCCTACGAACCCAAATGGAGTACCATCCACAGTTGGTTTAAGGAGAACATCAAATCCCAATTTCCCTGGAACAGAGTAGGTACTTGCCAATGTGTGTCATGCCATTCCTCATCCTTAATATGAACTTAAAGAAATACCACTATAATTTGAGGTGAGGTGCATCATATCCGCAGAGAGTCAACAAACAGAAGCATCTAGCAGTGTAGCCCGCTGGGATCCACAATCTTCGAAATTGAAGATCCCACAGCAGGGCACTGGAGAACGAAACCAGAGTGTAGAAGCAGAAAACCAATGAAGCAACCAGTGTGTAGAAGCAGAAAACCATGAAGCAACCAGAGTGTAGAAGCAGAAAACCAATGAAGCAGTACCAGGAAGACACCTTGGCACAAGAAAACAAAAACATAAGTCTTTAGCAACGTTCTTTGTGATATTTTCTTCACAAAAATAACAGCTACCATAAAATCCATAATATAAGCCCCCATGATATAGGTTCATAAAAAGGGAAACATTAGAAAAAACAAAAACCAACACTTATCATGCCAATAGCAAGTACTGAATTTTAACCAAAACCACCAGTTAAAGCAGAGGGCGTGGCCCCACTTACACAGCTGTGATTAAGTCAAGGACAGTAACAGACTAATCGAAAACCCCTGGACAAGTCAGGCAATCATCTTTTCCTTCAGCTTCGGCTTCTGCGACGCTCTCTGAGTCTATTTCTGCATATAAATCAGTGCAAATAAACATATTGTAGTATCTGAGACCAATCATGAAAATAAGTTGCGGCATATCCAACATTAACTAGGTATATACTATAAAAGAGAAGTGCCACCTGGGTCACATAAGAAAAGAACCGCAAAATTTGTAAATAGAGACTTCACCCATTAGCATATGGAACTTCATTTCCGCCGCGATATGGAGATCGGCTATAGCTGCGACCGCGCGGCGACAAGCTTCGGCGCCTGGGGGAATGCCCACGAGGACTATAACTCCTGCTTCACGGAGGAGGAAATCAGAAGAAATGGAGAGAACAGCAGCAGTTTTCGTGTGAAGATTATCAGAAGACTTAAATTATTAAAAGATTCTTAGTCAATGATATCATCCTTCAGTTTCTCACCTACGACCATAACTTGGGCTCCTTCGATATCTAGGAGGGCTCCGACTTCTACGTCTTCCAGGAGCTCCACGCGACCTGCACTCACGAGCAAAATGACCAGGCTCGCCACACTCGTAGCACTTCAAATCAGAGCCTCCAGAGCGACCACGACCGCCTCCACGGCCCCCACGACCTTCTCGAGAATTATGTGAAAGCTCCACCCTCCATCCATTCTTACCTAGTTCACAGGATCAGGGATAAAATACCTTCAGTGGCTCAACATATTACTGGTGTTTAGAGATGCTAAGGTACAGGAAAAAAATAGACAACACCAAAGTATAGACTGACTAGAGTAAGGTTTTAACTCAGTGTAAGGCCAAATATAGCATGGCCATCACAAAGATAAAAGAAACTCATTCAAAAAGCTTCATAATTGCTTAAGTTGGTTCAAACAGTCAAATAACCATACCATCCAGCTCTCTGATTGCATCTTGTGCATCTCGTAGGTCATCAAAGTCAATAAAAGCATAGCCAGGGGGACGTCTTGCAACCCAAACACTGTGAACAAATTTGTGGGTTAGGAATCATGGACAATAAAGCAGGTCAATATCATGGTGAGCTGCAACTGATGCTCTTAAGAGAGAAAAACTTATGAGCAAATGGCTCCACCTAGCCAGGCTAGACACTCTAACTAACTTTTAGAGAAAACTTAATAATAAAGAGACTTATTTCAACACAAGCTCTTCTATGATTTCATCATGTATGCTAGGAAAACTATACAAGAAAAACAATTTTACTCCAATACGGAAGTTATGTGGATTTTACACAAGTATCTGCTAGACTTGTATAACCATCCTCATGATAGATGTTCTTCTTTCAGAAAAGTACACTCACAGACAACTTTTCTGATGGCAACAAACTAAAGACAAAATTTTACAACTTTAACTTGCATGAAATTGATCCATATGTAAAGAAGGCATAGAATCCCAAACTATCTTTTAGGATTTCCACCATGCCAATTAATTTATAATGTCAATATACACTCATCTTCTTCTGGTTGCTTACAAATTTTTTTTCTTTTTCAATGGGTCACTCCAGAATAGTTCCTTTCTCTTTTCCGATGTGTTCAACACAATGTGCTCAAGCACAATATCCGTGACATGTTCATTCTTTATGCAAAGAATAACAGCACAGATGGAATTCAGCTTGACTTTCTTTCCGATCAACTTGCTAATCAAAAACCATTAGCCCCTCTTCAACCAAGACTAGAATAAAATTCAGTTTTCATTCCAAAACTAGAAAAGTAGGCATTTGATTTCCTCCAAAATAGTTCCTTTCTCTTTTCCGATGCGTTCAACACAATGTGCTCAAGCACAATATCCGTGACATGTTCATTCTTTATGCAAAGAATAACAGCACAGATGGAATTCAGCTTGTCTTTCTTTCCGACCAACTTGCTAATCAAAAACCATTAGCCCCCCTTCAACCAAGACTAGAATAAAATTCAGTTTTCATTCCAAAACTAGGAAAGTAGGCATTTGATTTCCTCCAAAGATTCTCAGCATGGCCAGAAGCTAGACATGAATATTTCTACATTCTGGTAAATTCCTAGGAAACAAAGGCACGTGAGAATCTAAGAAATTAAGAATTTATGTTACAAACCAAATAAGCAAAAAAATGTAAACATTCTTATAAGTTATGCATGTGCTCCACCATACTGTTAAAAAAACAGAAGGATTCCAAACAATAATAATCATCTTATAATGGAGAAAAAGAAGGCAGTAATACTGGGGTTTAGTTGCCAAGTCAATGGTCTAAGGTGTGCGGCTCAGCAAAATTTATCAATTCTGTGACGGGCAGTTAATGACTCTCAAAAAGTAAAAGCTGGTTTAGGTGTGCATGGAGGAGAGTAATGAGGGTAAAGATTCAGTTTACAACCATCCATACTATGCATACCAATCACGAAGAGATGTAAATCTTGGAACTTCCTTTACCTTCTTATAACTCCAAAGATACGGAATTCATCTTCAAGCTCTCTTTCACTGACCCTAGGGTCCAGATTCCCAATATACACTCTTGACATCTTCTGTACACACCTATTGAGAAAGAACAAAAAAGTACAGCCAACTCTTAACATTCATAAAACTGTCAATCCAATACCGCTTACAAAACATCATTTTCCTGGTAACACCATAATATCCTGAAACATCAGTACATCCTTCCACTTAAATAATATCAAATTTCAGTGTCACGTCCAAGAAAATGCCTTCAGAGAACAACTTTACTAGGGAAAAAGCGCAAGATATAGAAATTATTGAAGATTTTTAGTCAATGAACATTATATTATTACTATAACGAGGACAATTTTCAAGGACAATGGACTTTCTACAATTCACTGAAAGTTTGAAAAAAGGCTTTTTGAGGGGCAATTTTGGAAAAAATCTAACAATTCAAAGGGATGTAATCAAGCAACTCTTTTACAATAGTTCAAGCTAAGCCGAAAGGCAATAAACCAATAGATCCTTCCACAACACAGAATTATCAACCTAAATTCCGTAACAGAAAAGTAAGTGAGAATCTTTTCAAATTCACAGAACATTTAAGAGAGAAAAGTGATGACAGTTATACAGAAATTTTAAAAGCTCAAGTCTAACGAAATCCTAGATCCATCAATAGCTCAGTAAATCACTGCGCCAATTTCAGCCAAACAAACTCAAAAACAAAAATTGAAAGTAAGAAAATACGTGACAACGAAGCTAAAAATCTACTTTAAGACCCTTAAAGTTCCTGAAAAAATAGAACTTTTCCCCAATTCAGTGAGATTCAAAATAATTACAAAATAAGATGAGCATATAACTGGTTTTTAGCTGGAAAATTTGAGAAAGAAGATGCGGACCTGAAAACCCTAGCGAAGATGGCAAAAACCCTAGCGAAACAGCAGAGTGATGTGTAAGAAGAAATATTTAGCGCTTTGAGATTTGGTGTTGTATTGAACGGGATAGGAAAAGGGCTTGGCCAAATGTACTATTCGAGTTTTTACCGCAAATGATCCCTTAAGTTTGGGAGTAGTTTTATTTTTCTCCCTCTAATATCACCCTTAGCATATTTAGTCTTTTAAGTTTGCGAAAAATGAGAACTTTTGGTCCTGATAACGGAAATGCAAATGGATCACTTAAAATCAAACGGAATGAAACAGAGAACCAGGCGTTGATAATGTGCATATATTTTGTTCAACAAATGACAAAATAAGGTTGATATTTGACGTTGTTTTACACCCTTCAAAAAGAGAAGATGAATTAACTCAACGCACTAGAAATGTTTGTTTAGAATTTGTCTTCTAAAGCCGACTAAAATATATGCAGAGAAATTAATAAGAAGAATAAGAATTCCTTCTAGCCAGGTTCCATACTACATGTATATAAGCAAATAACACAACGAAGAAAAAATAATATTAAAAAAATGAGAATGAATCACGGGAAAGATTATATGAGTGTTATTAATATTGTGCAGTCTAATTTATATATAACGGGATAGTAAATGAGAAAATTATTGTTGTTAGTATCTTCTGTTTCAAGATGCAGAAACCACACTACGTACAAATAAAGCAAACAGAACGCGGTGCATGGTGGAACGAGACTTCGCGGTCTTTGATATTGAAGGTGGGTTTTAGGACACACAACCCTTTTTCATATTCAAACCATAACAAGGACCCTTTTTTTTTTTTTTTTTGCTTCTTGCAACATTAAAGGAAAAAAAATAGTAATAAATAATGAATCAAAAACATAAACACGTGATCAAGCCTGCCAAGAGCATCAACTAGTGACGGATTTAGCCTTCTGACATCGGATTCAATTGAACCTATAAGTTTCAACGCCGAACATTAATTTATGGGTATATTTTTAAAAATTATAATAAATTGTAGATATGAATCCATCCATATTAAATTTCTCTCAAACTGATGAAGTTTTTTATGAATCCATCATTTTAAAAATAAAACAGGTTGAATACTGAAAATATTAAAAGCTGAAGCCATAAAGTTTAAATCTAGAATTCGCCTCTAGCAGCAGCCTCAAGCCCAAAAGAACCATCACCTTTCAGCTATATTGTTACCTTTACAAAGCTAAGAACTAGTCAAAGGCATGACTAGAAGGGAATGTGATGGTGTGGAGATAGTCAAGGAGGTGGAATATTGTATGGAGAAGGAAATGAGGGATGGCGTAGTCACTAGGAGGTGAAGTAAGGAGCTTATGTAGGGAAAGGGAGTGTGGTGGCTGTAGCCTGTAGGAGCAGCAGTCAATGAGGGGTCAATGAAGAGTGGGAGGCTTATTAAGTGCAAAATGCCGTTTGATTTAAATGATCTATTTGAAATTATGTTACCATGAATTCATGACTAAAAGTTATCAGCTTTTTGCAAATTAAGGACTAAACATACTCAGGGTAATATCTAGTCATTATGCATGAACAAATTCGATAAAGCGTTAGAATGATTAACGACAGAATTAGCCAAATATTCCTCATAATTGATGACAATAATCTACAATAGTCTCACTCAGTTCATCGCATAGATGCACAAAATTACTAAGATGATATGCCCCATTGGTAGAGGCGTAGAGCCAGCAGCGGAGCTAGCCCATCGAGTATGGGTTCGGCCAAACCCAGTCGCTTTGGTCCAATACATATATTTGTCTTAAAAAATCTATTGAATATATATAAATTATTAATTTAGAATCCAGTAACTTAAAAGGATTAGAACCCCGAACCCATAAGCTTAGAATCCTACCTCCGCCTCTGCGTAGAGCCGTTTCACATGGGGCTTACTTGGTAATCACAGTGATACTGCAACGTCAATTAGTAAACCACCGCCTTAATTGATGCAAGTGCATGAACAGTGGCGGAGCCACCTTATAGGAAGGGGTGTCAAATGACCCCCATTCTCGGGAAAAATACACTGTGTAGGCTGTTAGCATATTTGAGTTTCACTTTCATGTATTTTGTATTTTTGGGCTTATGTTGTAGTTGGGCTTAATTATCTGTATCGGGCTGATTGGGTTGATTTATTCTTTATAGAAACAAGGTATGATCATGTATATAGGTAATAGAAGATTCTAGATCCTTACCCGGTCATTTTACCAAAACTGCATTCCCTCTCTCCTTGTGTACGACAGTCATCTTTCTCTCTCGATCTCGTTGTTAACTTCGAATCCTTGGATTCTAACATGGTATCAGAGCCATGGAAATCACATAACCTCTCCTCATGTGATTTATTTTCATAGTGATTTCTTCTTATTTCCTCTATTTCGAGATCGATTTACCCTAATTTCATTGGTGTTTTGCCCTAATTTTTGTTCTCTATCAATTTTTGTTTTTTCCTCCAGTTCTAATCGAAAAAATTGATCGAATATCTCATTGTTGAGATCTCCAGTTCAGTAAGTGATTTTTTTGGTATTGTGTAGCTCAACGAAGGTACTTTGTGGTTAATCGTGGCTGAAGTTTGCTTTCTCTATGGGTAATTTGATTCCAAGCTGGTAACTCCTGTACTACGTGTTCGTGATGGGTGATCAAAGCAATCGTGATGAACAAATTGACCAAAATCCGTCTCTGAATCCTAATAATCTCAATCCATCTCTCAATCTTCATTTTGATGATGAACTGGTTTTTCCTCCTTCTCACCCTTTTTATTTGCATCCTTCTGATAATCCCGGTATTATGTTAGTTTCTAAGCAATTCAATAGTAGTTGTTTTGGTGCTTGGAGAAGGGGAATTACAATTGCACTTTCTACAAAGAAGAAAATAGGATTTATCAATGGTAGTTATACTCGTCCTGATGTTGATTCACCATTCTTCGATCAATGGGAACAGTGTAATAATATGGTCATTAGCAGGATTCTCAACTCTCTCGACCCAGACATTTCTTAAAGTGTCATATACTCGAAAACTGCCAAAGGACTCTAGGATGAATTGAATCAACATTATGGACAGTCCAATGGTGCTCGAATGTATGAGGTTCAGAAGGATCTGAGCTCAGTTTCTCAAGGTTCTTCGGATATAAGTGGATACTTCAACAAGGTTAAAAGTCTTTAAGATGAAATGGAGTCTTTGAATACAGAATCTTATTGTGTCTGTGAGTGCAATTGTGGGGGTAAGCATAAGATGATAAAGAGGGATCAAAATCTGAAGCTACTGTAGTTCTTAATGGGCTTAAATGAAATCTTCAACAATGCTAGGGGGAACATCCTAATGATGGAACCCCTTCCTGATGTGAGCAAAGCCTACTCTTTGGTTATACAGGATGAGAAACAGAGGGGTATTCAGAATCTCCCTACGTTTCAATCTGATTCAGCATCCTTCTCTATTGGATCTAATCTCCGTGGTCCTTCATTCCATAATCCAAAAACCACTCTCAATGCTCAGAATCAGAAATACAACTTCACTACTCCGAATCAGTATCAAAGAGGAAACTCTGATGCAAAGAGAGCTCCAGACCCTAGGAAATCTTTCTGCCGGTATTGCAAGAAGAGCGGGCATGTAATAGAAACGTGCTATAAACATCATGGTTATCCGCAGAACTTCAAATTTGGCAATAAAATGTTAGAGTTGCTGCCAATGTGTACTCAAACTCTGAGGTCAAAGCTGATAATCCCATTGAGAATCCCACTTCTTCCACCATAACCGCAAACTAGTACAAAAAACTCATGAGCATTCTCTAACATGTCCAGGTTACCGATGAGGGTCAGAATCATTCCCTACTGCCTCTGCTAATTTTGCATGTATACTTGCATGTTTTTGTCATAGAAGTTGTGGTACTTGTTCATGTCTAAAGATTCATTTAAATATTGACTCTTGGATTATAGACTCTGGAGCAACTGACCATAAGACCTCCAATAAAAATTTACTTACCAATATAACTGACCTTCCAATTCCTATTCTTGTCACATTACCTAATGGTTACAAAGTGAAAGTAACTTCTACTGGTACGGTACATATTAATTCGATTGTCACTCTTTCTAAGGTCCTTTATCTGCCTACATTTAAGTACAATCTTATTTCTGTATACAAACTCATTCTTGATACATCTTTGTTGTTAACTTTCTCCTTTACTGCATGTTTCCTACAGGGCCCTTCTCTGAAGAAGCCATTGGGACTTGGTAAGATGGTTGAAGGGCTCTATCTTCTCAACTCTACCTCCACAAAACCATATGCTGCTTCTTCTGTTGTTCCTATTCCATTTTCTGTTCATGTAACTACTGTCACCGTGAATAAGTCTCATATTTTGTGGCATCATAGACTAGGACATCTGTCATTTTCCAAACTACATAAAATCACTTGTATCAATGTTCCATCTTGTGATAGACAACCTTTCATTTGTGATGTATGTCCACTTGCGAGACAACAAAGAATTCCTTTTCCTCATAGTCAATCTCATGTTTTACATATTTTTTATCTTATTCATGTCGATGTGTGGGGACCATATAACACCGCAACATACAAAAATTGCAAATATTTTTTAACTTTGGTTGATGACTGTAGTAGAGGTACTTGGACTCACCTTTTAAGTAGCAAGGGCAATGCTCTTTCTGTTCTAAAATCATTCTTCTCAATGGTTGAAACCCAATCAACCTAAAGATTAAAACCATTCGGACAGATAATGCCCTTGAACTTGGTGCCAGTCTTGAAGCTACCCAATTTTTCCAGTCCAAAGGAGTTTTACTTCAGACATCTTGCCCTTATACACCCCAACAAAATGGTATAGTCGAAAGAAAGCACAAACATTTATTAGAAACAGCCCGGGCCCTTCTATACCAGTCCAAACTTCCACTTTATTTTTGGGGAGATTGCATACTTACAGCTACTTATTTAATAAACAGATTCCCAAGTACCTTGTTATCTGGCAAAACTCCATATGAAATCCTATATGGAACTCAACCTTCCTATAGTCATTTGAGAAGCTTTGGTTGCTTATGTAATGCTGTGGTCCCTAAACCTCTTAGAGACAAATTTTCTC